AGTTAAAAATATTCCAGTATTGTCAGATATGAAATTAATACATTTAGCCAGAATGCTACTTATTTGTCAGGATGTTATTGCAGTCTTTAGAGCCTTCTGATGAATTTTTCAACAAGCTTGAATGATTGATTGTTTTCTCCTAAGCTCTGAGTTGTCCATATCTCATAACTCACCAGTCACTTCCCAGAAGTAGACTGTATCTTTATCGTTGCTACTTGCCCTTCAAATGTGGTGAGAATAGAAATAAGTATCTCACTGTTTCTCTGAACTATAGCAGCTCCTAAAAAAAAAATGTTGCTGTAAATATTTCTTAAAATATTTTAGTTACCTTGGATGAAAGCTCATAAATGAACAAAAATTCCATGTATTTATTTATTGTCTTGTGGTTTTTCTGTTCCCATCCTTCAAGCAGTATATCTGCAGGAGAGGAGAAAGAAAATACAGTCTCAAAACCTTTAACACTTGATTATACTTTCCGGTATTTTTTATCGCTGGAGGAGAACAGAATAGGTTTGCGTATTTTCAGAATCATTTATATCTAATTCATCTTGCTTTTAGGTAGAGAAATGGACTGAGTGACATTTTAAAGTGGCTTATAGCTTTCTCTTGTTATATTTCTAAGCATTGTAGGATAACCTGTGTTGGAGAGGACCTCAGCAGGCCCACAGTTCAATGCCATTCTCAGAGCACCGTCAGCTATGGGGTCAGACCAGGTTGCTCAGGGTCTTGAAACCTCCAAGGATGGAGATAGCAGATCTTTTCTGGCCAACCTTTTCCAATGACTTTGTTTTTTCACCTTAAATTGTTTGCTTTGAATAATTAAAATAAATTCCTCACTCTATGTTTGTATATAAAATTCCAGTTACTAGAAAGGCATACAATTACTTGAAGGGCTCAGTGAAAGTGCAGTAACAGTTTGCTGTGTTAAATCAGTCATTAAACAAGCCAGAAGCATGCCAATTTTGTCTTGCATCTCTGTACTTCGCAGTTCAGTGAGAGTCATTGAGATATTGCAGGTAATAGCTCACATTCAGCAAGAGATGTGGTATCTGAAAAGTTTTCAGAAAAATCATTGCAGCTGTGAAGGGGATTTTAGATTGTCTTTATTACTGTCTGTGGAGGGATTCTCCTCTGTTACTGTAGCAAATATACTGGTTAGTTTCTCTAGCCAGTGCTCTTATATTTGTGCTTCATTGATCTAGATCACGACAGATTGTCATGGAATGTTTTTATGCAATAGTGCATTGCCTCCTGTCTCTTTTTGCCCTTGCCACAATAAGCTATTGCACCTCCTGAAATACTTGAGTGGTACTTTAAAATAAAAGCAGACATTCTGAATTGTCAGTTATTTATGTATTTTGTGGAGTACTAGAAGTTACAAACTACAAAAATTCAGTTCAAATATGTGAATTAGTCTTGGAGAAAGATATCTAACGTGAGGAAAAAGTGCTTCTTACTGCTCAGCAAGACTCTTCCAATAGTAGCTGTGGAGCCATCCATGAGGCTCAGCAGATTCCTGGTGAGAGTGGGGTGTTTGGACACTTAACATCCAGTGTGAGGAGTTGTAAGTGCATGCATCCAAGTGTGTGCATCCTTGCTTTCCTTGTTCTACAGCTACATCACCTTAAACAAAGTCAAAGATAGCTGGAGTGAGCCCTGTGTGAAAGGAACTACAAGGAATTGGGGACAAGGTGGAAAGCACTGTTCCTTCCTTCTGGTTCTTTCCTCTGCCCTCACTACCTTTGATAGGAGAGTACATTTTTTGCCCTGTTGTGCAGGACCAGTGACAAACACTCCCAGGTGCTGCATTTGTTCTTGCTCCTTCTCACATGCACTGGGATGGGGAGTTGCCCTGAGGTGCCAAGGATTGACCATGTGTATATGCAGGTGGAGCAAACAGTGTGAAAGAGACCTTTCAGCTCTTCATGAGATGAGCAGGATTGTCTGATGTCTCAGCTTTTCTACTCTGCATGCGTCATACAGAGGAGAAGGAGAGGAGAGAAAATATGTAGATGTGGTGGAGAAAAGACATGTTACTATGGACAACGATTGGGAAAGAAGAGAGCAGGTTATCTCCCTACCTGTGCCTGTCAAAATTCTGCTTGTTGAGGAGCAGCACCCTGCCCAGCTGTCAAAGTGCTGCACCTGACCTTTCTGCTCTTGCCATGTCCACAGTGTATACCCCTTAAACCTGAGGAGGAGCCTTGTTCTACTTTCTTTTTCAGTCTCATCTTACAGGTTCTAGGGCACAGATATGCTTTTTCTTTAGCTGCTCCTCATTAGTTATTCTTTGCTTTTCTCCTGTCATTGCTGAACATTATGCTAAATGAAGAACAATAATTTATTACACTGGTGCAGTGTAACAATAATTTACTACATTGGTGCATGGTGAAGGTCAAAGTGAGGAAGACTGGCAGTCATAAGCCAATTTTTTTCTGCTGTATGATGTCTTGGTAAAGTCCATACTTTTACAGCTCCAGGCTCCCCTTACATTCTGGGGATACCTTCATGGTAGAATTCATGGGGACAGTGGCTACTGATGATGAACTCTGAATGGTTCTGTCAACACGGGTGACTTTTTTTCTCCTTAGATTTTAGAGCTGTTTCAGGAACAAGGTTTTTGCTGTTCCTGGTGCCTCATTACTTATGTATCTGAAAAACCTACCTGGTTTTCGTGCTGGTGGGTTGACTCTCTGGATGCCAGGTGCCCACCAAAGCTGCTCTATCTCTCCGCTCCTCAGCTGGACAGGGGAGAGAAAATATAATGAGAGGCTCATGGGTTGAGATAAGGACAGGGAGAGATCACTCATCAGTTACTGTCGCAGGCAAACCAGACTCGACTTGGGGAAAATTAATTTAATTTATTACCAATCAAATCAGAGTATGATAATGAGAAATAAAAACTAAATCTTAAAATACTTTCCCCCCACTCCTCCCTTCTTCCCAGGCTTAACTTCACTCCCAATTTTCTCTACCTCCTCCCTGACAGCAGTGCAGCAGGACAGGGAATGGCACTTGTAGTCAGTTCATCAGATGCTGTCTCTGCTGCTCCTTCATCCTCAGGGGGAGGACTCTTCACACTCTGACCCTGTTCCAGCATGGGGTCCCTCCCACGGGAGACTGTCCTCCATGAACTTCTCCAACATGGGTCCTTCCCATGGGCTCAGTTCCTGGTGAACCATTCCAGCGTGGGTTCCTTCAATGGGGTGCAGTCCTTCAGGAGCAGACTGCTCCAGCGTGGGTCCCCCATGGGGTCACCAGCCCTGCCAGCAAACCTGCTCCAGAGTGGGCTCCTCTCTCCATGGGGCCGCAGGTCCTTCCAGGAACCTACTTCAGCATGGGCTTCTCACAGGGTCACAGCCTCCTTTGGGTATCCACCTGCTCTGGCATGGGGTCCTCCATGGGCTATAGGTGGAGATCTGCTCCGCCATGGACCTCCATGGGCTGCAGGGGGACAGCCTGCCTCACCATGGTCTCCACCAGGGGCTGCAGGGGAATCTCTGCTCTGGTGCCTGGAGAACTGCCTTCCCCTTCTTCTTCGCTGACCTTGGTGTCTGCAGAGTTGTCCTCTCACAATGTTCTCACTCTTCTCTTGGGCTGCAATTGCTGTTGCACAGGGTTTTTTTCCCCCCTTTTCTTAGATTTGTTATCTCAGAGGCACTACTACTGTTGCTGATGGGCTCAACGTTGGCCAGTGATGGGTCCGTCTTGGAGCCAGCTGGCACTGGCTCTGTTGGACATAGGGGAAGCTTCTAGCAGCTTCTCACAGAAGCGACCCATGTAGCTCCTCCGCTTGCCCCACAAACCTAATACACCATGTGTACTCTGGATTTCGTGGACAACCCAGACGTGTATTTGATGATGGCACTTCCTCGCTGAGGTTCCAGAAGACTGCATTCATGAAGGTGAGAGGAGATCAGGTTGGAGGAAAGGGGTAACTGACACTTCTCATATGCTTTGCTGGGACTGTGTCTGAGGCTATTGGCCTTATATTTGGGTGTTTCTGGAATTCTGTAGGAGGGAAAGTAGAGTTTGATGGCTGTTAGATACCAGTCCTGTAAAAACTGATCAGCTTCTCCAGGTATGGTAAGAATATCTGAGAGCTTTCACATGTTTCTGAGGAAACCTATCTGTGACCTGCTGAGCTAAGAAATATTCTGCCTTAATCACAGGGTGGGTTTGCTGCTTTAAGTATTTGAGTAAAGTTAAATACTTGGGCATTTCAGTGGAAAATATTTCCTTCAATTTTATGTTATCCTTGTTATTTAGATGTTCTTAGTCACCGAAGAAGAAAACTAGGTAAAACGTAGAAGTCTTAGACGGTCCTTGATACTTTAATTTCTGTATGTTCCTTGTGTTTTTCTCTTTCTAGGTTTTAAATGCCTTTTATTGACGATTCAGGCTATCTAGGCTGACTTTTGGTCTATTTCAAAGCAATCTATTGTGGTATAGAGACTTGGGAAGCAGAAACTTCCCTCAATTTGCCTATCTTAATCCAGTTACACACAGCAACTTGTGTTGTGGGGCAGGCACGTGGGCAGTGTAGTGTTCCACCACAGCTCTAAATTAGACCCCTGTTGTCTCTTAAGAGCAAGAAATATTTATTTCCTGAAGTAATTTTAGGCAACAGGCCTAAAATCTTGGATATGAAGCACGTGTGATGAAAAATGCATCTTTTTGTTACTGTGACTGAAATCAGCAAGTATAGTGTCTTGTTTTAAACTCTTTTTTTGATGCAATTTATTAAACAACGGGCATGTTAATTTGCAGACAAAATAAGACAAGCAAAAGATCATACTGTTTATGCCTTCATTAGTCTGTAAATCCTAAATAGAAGCTCTTGTTTCATAAGTTGCTTTATTGAAATTCTAACATAAAGAATATGGCTGTATTGTAAAGTGGCTTAAAGAGTAAGTCTTTAACTGGTGCAATAATTAATATTATTCTAATGTATTCTAATTTTTTTAATATATTTGAATCTTCTTTATTCCTATTTTCAGGGAAACTCAAATGGCATTGCTACTGTGGATGTTTCAGCAGGTTTTGTGGGACTAGAAAGCTATGTGGAGATACCAGCTATCTTCCTTACAGCATTTGCAACATATGCAGGACCTTTGCTTTGGGCCATTCATCTGCTGTGCTACCTGAGTTCTGAAGTTAGCAGGTAATCATGTTTTGAACTGAAGTAATGCTCCTCTACGTACTTCAGATACAAATGCCATCCATATAGTGTATACCTTTTCAAACAAACAGTTTTGTTCACTTCATTTTTTTAACTTGGAAGTTAGTTTTCTATTAAGCAAATGCATGTTCTTTTTTTGGTATGAGTTTGTATCACCTCACTTTTCCAGTTTCGTTTTCTCTGCCAAAGTTTTGCACTGAGAATAGACATGTATGTTTTACTAATTTTGTTCTTTAATGAGTTCTCAGTTTGCTGGGCTAAATTACTTAAAAATTTATTAGGTTTTGTTGTAACAGCATGTGCTGCCTAAAAACATTCTTCTTGGAACCTATTAAATAGGAGACCTGAGAAGGACTTTTTAAAGTAATAGAATAGAATTCAAACTTAACTAACGTGCTGTTCTTTGAATGTCTGTCCTTGTTTGGCATAGTGACATACAACATTTTATAAATAAACCCAATTAATTTTATTGTATGTTACTGGTTATTGCAGTCATTTGTAACTAAAATATTTGTACTTTTGGGTATCTTGTGTAGCAGATGAGTTAATGTAAAATGAATTAATGCATTTGGAATTAGTGCATTTTAAGAAGACATAGCTGGAAAATGCTTATGTAACTTAGACTGCATAAGTAAAATCCAATTGGACTCTCTAATATTGCATTTAACTCATCATCCAGGGCATTCAAACTGAGATGCGGTACGTTAAAACAGAGAAGTTGTAAATTCCATATCCTATGATATCAATGCACATATTCAAAAACTTGATATATTTTCACAGAAATAACATTTGACAGTGACTAAATTCTTACCACCCTAGAGTCTTTTCTCTGTTATCTGTGGAATTTTAATGAACACTTTTTTTTTTTTTTTTAATGGGGAACAAAATGTGGCAGTAGGCTTGGCAGGTGGGATTTTAGACAGTATTTAGTTTATCACAACTCTTTGCCTTATACATTGTCATCCTCTGTAAACCTCTGACTTCTATTTATATACAAAGTGTCATCTGGTCTCATCCTGTTGGTGCTTTTTGTTTTCTGGTTTCTCTCTTCTCCTTTTGCTTGTTTGTTTTGGGCTATACCTACAATGTGAACTTGTGTTGGCACGTGTGTGTTCATCAGAGGTGTAAGGAGATGGGATTCCCAGCTGACCAAGCTGCCTAGACTAGTGGAGGTTTTTGAACCGGGAAGGACCTGTTCTAATAGGCTAAATGCCTGCACAGTCATTGTGTTCATTGCTCTATATTAACAGGCAGCTTTAACACGTAGAATATTATTCACCTTATTCCCTGATTTGTCTGTCTGCCATAATGCTCCTAAAGATGTTTAGCTCTCTCTATTGCAGTGGAATTATGTAGCCCCATGCTGGGCCATGGTATCGCTCTAGTAATGCACTCCTTGGTGCAGACTGAGACTCACTGTAGAACATTACCTCTTAGTCTGAGGCCAGCTACCTTGAAGTCATCTTTGGTCTTACATAGATTGATACTGTCTTAAGTACTGGTCTTTATGTATAATGCCTCTGAAAAACATCTTTTTCTCTGTTCATTCTGATATTTTTTTGCTTCAGGAGGAGTAGATGTGCAATACACTAATTGTTGACATCTGGATTTGTATAACCACCCAAAGCCCTTTCTTGAATTTTCCTTACTACCTGGTGTCTTGACACCAAACTCAGTTTTGACTATCTGTTTCTAATGCTCCTCAGTTTTAGTTACTGCTTTGCTCCATCAATACATCTTCCCAGTATCCAAGCTCTTCAAGTTTTCTCCATTCTTTCAGCTCTCTTTAAAAAAGTTACCATGTACTTATAAAAAGCTCCATCTCTTGTCTTCTAGTAAATATGTGGCCCATGACCCTGGTATTACTTACATTCTATTAATCTACTGTTTTTTCCCCAGTTGCTTTATACCTCTGCCATGCTTTGTTTAAAATAGTGCTAGACAGTGTCACTGGTCACATCCATGTTCCTTGTGTTGTTTTTTTTAGCAGTCCCACTTCCCATTCTTCATTATTACCCTGTAGGTGCTTTGGAACTGGACCTCACTGCTTGTGCTTGGAGGACTCCGAGCACAGTGGAGTAATCACCTCAGTGCCATTGTCTGGGAA